GTAATATTAATTATTTATAATTATAATCGTTCGTTTTAATTTTGACAAAAATATTTTATTCAATTTTAAAAAAACAATTCTGTTAATTGTGAGAATAATAATAACAATAATAATAATAATATATCCCTATAATCATTATATTATTATCCGAATTTGTATTAATAATAATTATAGCTAATAATTAATCATAATATAAACATAATATTAATAATAATTTAAAATATTAATATTAAGATAAAACCATAATATTAATAATAATTTTAATATAAACTTTTTTTTAATGATTTTTAAAAATAACATTGATATCGTATGTCAACAATTATATCATAATTACAATAACTAATTGATCTATTAATAATTGCAATCACTAATTGACCTATATAATTGTCGATATTAACAGCAATATCAATAAAAATTTTTTGTGTGTAACGTACCATTTTAGAAAAACATAATAACGATATATGCTCAAAAATGTTTCTGAAAGATAATTAAGAAATAATAATAATTTAGCATGGCGAACATTATCGTTATTCGGACTGGTGTAGAAATATTAATTAAACTACATAATCAATCGTTAGTCAATCATTTCATTATTCTTCCTCGCAATATATATATATATATATCGACAGTTACGGAATTCGTCATGTTCGCGCTGGATTATTAAATTAATTAAGTTTGGAAAAGTTAAGAGGAATATTTCGAAAACCTTTCGTAATTGTCTATGTAATTATATAATACATATGTATCTCTGTTAGGAGTTAGTGTATAAAAGGAAAGATGGCAGAAATAAAACATCGGAATAGCAATGGAGACTTGATTTGTTCGAGCGAATTTTGTCGGAAATCAATATCCCAGCCGTTTCGTTGGTTTTCATATTCCTCTGTAATAACACTTTTCTCTATTTTCAATTTTAGAAACAGTGATATGCAATAATAAAAAAAAGATGGTTATTACGATTTTTTTTTCCTTTACTTCCTCCTTCCTTTTTTCTCTTTTCGTATAGCTTACATATATATTATATTATTTTATTAGCGTATTATATAACCAAAAGTAATGCGTTTGAAATCAATTGTTTCTTCCTTTTTTTTTTTGTTTTTGGGTTTAAAGATATAATTAAAATGTTCCAACAAACATGTCCGAATATAGTGGTTATGGTTTGAGAATGATGTCATAAGTTTCAAAAAATTTACTCCATGTCCCGTTTTTTCATGGATTATGTAAAATCGTAAAAAAGTGATCCCGTTCTTTTTGTTTCCTTGTTGTTTATTTAATTAAATATCATTATTTATTAAATTTAAAATTTTTTTTTCATGTATATATATATATACATGAAAAAAAAATATTAAAATAAAAATTAGGTATATATATATATATATATATATACCTAATTATTTACGATGTTTCAAGTAATTTATACATATATTTTTTTTTCCTGTGAAATAATAAATTTATATACCAATAAATAAAAAATTCTCAGGCAATAGACAGTTGAATAAATTTTTTAATCAAAAATATTTTCAACCGTTGAAAATCAGAAGTAAAACGAACATTACTATGGTCCACGTTAAAACGCGAAATATAAGTGTGACTGTAAATCTATCTAATTTGTAGTTTTCATTTCTCTGAGTATCTTCTCGAATACCAATGTACCTGACTCGTATAATATTCCATATTTCGAGATAGAATTGGGTATTCGCATATCCGCATGTCCAGAATATCCGTGTCGCCAGGCTTTTGTCCTAATATATTACAAGAGTATGTAATATTACGATTTCGAAAAAAAGAAAAAGAAAAAAAGATCTGAATAATATATAATAAAAATGAAAAAATGAAACAATAAAAAGAAAAAAATATAATAATTTTTATATACAATTTGATTCATTTTTACGAACGAAAAATATTTATCATTCTGATATATTATTATATAATAATAATAATTATAATGGTGATAATAATAATAATAATAACAATAAGCAATATATTTGTTATAATAATAATAATAATAATAATAATTATAATAATAATAAAAAGAAAAACAATATTGATTCATATCAATTCTCAATGAATTTTTTCATATAATTTTTTCGTACAATTCATTACGAAGTTTTTTCAAATGTTAAATGTTCCTGTCCATGTATGTCATTTGTGATTACGTTTTGAATTCGAGATTACTAGTTGAATGTTACCAAATATATATGAGAATAAGAGCGGGAGAGAGAGAGAGAGGGAGAGAGAGAAAGAGAGAGAGGATGAAAAAGTAAATGACATTTTAAAATCATCACCTCTCTTTTGTATATACTGCAATTGACACAAAAATATTCGTTTGATTGGTAAAGGCCTTTAACAAGTCAATCTTTCTGATCGACACGTAACAGTTTCTCGGCCACAATAGATCGTATAAAAATAACGGCTATTCGTTTTTGTTGTATAAGAGATGTAAAAAAAAAAAAAAAAAAAAAAAGAAAAAAGAAAAAAGAAAAAATTTTATTCGAGAGCAAAGTTTTATGGTATTCTTTTTTTTTTTTTTTATCAAACAGAAATATATTAAAGAATTCCTCTTCATCGACGTAAGCACGACTATTACTACTTTTGATTCAAAAAATTTCGTTATTGATAAAAAAAAAAAAGAAATAAAAAAAGAAGAAAAGAAAAAGAAAGAACTGTTTCTATTAACATAAACGTAAACATTTAATAAATATGTATCTATCATATCGAGTACAACGAACGATATGTCGGAATTCTATATAAAAAAAAAAATACTAGTACGATTTGTTTTGATATAAAATATTTAAAATTTTCAGTAAAACAAAAAATATTATAGCGTTATTTATTCAGATAGTAAAATAGTAAAAATTTTCGATAACAAATAATCTTTAAACGCTTTATTTATTTAGATATAAAAGAATTGAATGATTTTAGTAAAAGAAGAAATACTAAATATAAAGTTTATCTTTAATTAAATATAAAGTATCAAACGTTTTCAATAGAAAAAAAAAGAGAAAGAAGAAAAATATAATGTTATTTATTTAGATACAAAAAGATACTAAACATTTTCAATGTATAAAATACCAATATTATTTTTTTAAATATTAACTATTAAAAAATTTCGACATTACTTATTGTCCAAATCAATATTTTTTTATTTTAACTTACTATCAATATATATAGTTTAATTTCTTTTTTTTCTTCATAACATCGATTTTCTCAAATTCAATTATATCAAGTTCGAAAAATGTTTACTTTATTATAATATTAAAATTCATACTTTTGTTTTAATCCAGTTAAGAAAAGAGCGTTGCTTCAATTTTTTCCCATGAATTCAGGATGGATAGTCCATAAATTTCATGGGTGAGTTGGCCGTATTTCTTCAATAAAGTAAGGTCCTATACATCAGTCACTGAGTAATGGTAAATGAAAGAAAATTTTTAAAATAATAAATCATGACACCATCTAATACTTCTATTAAAACTTGCCAATCAAGATATTGCCAGAGTTATCGGTTCAATTTCAATAAAAAAAAAAAAAAAAAAAAAAAAAAAAAAAAAAAAAAAAAGAAATACCAAACAAGCAAACGTTCACGATAAATAACGTAGATTTTGATGTCCGATGAATGCGTTAATATCGAAAAAGAAAAAAACATTAAAAGTATTAATGGAGAAAGGAGCTCGATGAAAAGAAAAGAAATAAATTAGTGTCAAAAAAAGAAAAAAAAAAAATAAATGGACAGGCTGCTAAAAAGATCTACAATTTCTTTCTCAAGTAACGACATAGAAAATGTTCACTTAAAGTAACTCAGACGAGGTAAATTTTTAACGAAAATGTATGTGCAAAGTGTATAAAAAAAAAAAAAGAAAAAAGATATAATACAACGAAGAAAATTAAAGACTGGATAAAACGCAAGTTTTATATTTACGTAAATAATTTTGCGAATCCTGAAAAAAGTTTATCTGAAAACGTTAAATTTTGCAAATTTTATTTGTTTTATCTATTTTAACTATTTTTAACTATTTTAACTAAACATTTTATACAATTCTAATATTTCTTTTCGGCGACCAAAATTCTACTTAATATAAATACCAACAACAACGTATTCTCCTTTATATCTTATCTTATAAAAAGTTCTAAAAGATAAAATAATATAAAATAATATAAAATAATATAAAATTTTAAAAGATAAATACTATTCGTGTAAAAGATCGATGAATTAAGATAGAGATTTATTTAAAAGAAAAACAAACATTGAAACACGAAGATTTTTATATTGTTTCTTACGTCTTATTTTTTTTTTTTTTTTTTTTTTTTTTTATTATTGTTGAAATGACTACATCAATCGATACGCTAAATCAAAATCGATTAATGATGAGAAATTAATAAACAAAACAAAAATACGTATTTGAAAGCAACTATATTTACTAGTTATTAATTAGACGATAAAATTTATAATGATAACTATTTCTAAATAAACAGATAATCTCGTAAACTTACAATCCTTTCGAAACCTGCTTGATATCCTCGTATTTTGTTATATTCTTTAGATTCTGATGAAGGAAGAAGAAAATAGAAAAAGACGAAGGAAAGGAAAAAAAGAGAGGAAATGGAATTCGATCGGCCATGTGCACACGTGACACTCATCGTTACAGTCTCACCCTCTCTTCCATCTCTCTCTTTCCATCTTTCTCTTGCAACACTTTATCCTTCTCCTTTTTTCAATTTCGAGACTCTCCCTATCAGAGAAAAAGAGAAAGAGAAAGAGAGAAAGAGAGAGAGAGAGAGAGAAAGAAAAAAGAGAAAGAAATGAGAGAGAAAAAAGAGAAAGAGAGAAAAAGAGAGAAAGAGAGAGAGAGAGAGAAAGAGAAAAAGAGAAAAAAGGAATGAGAGAAGGGAGGAAAGCGCGACTGATTCCCCCGATGGCTCAATTTAGCGGAGCTCTTTCGAGAGCTAACACGAGGGGAGTGCAATGCTATGTAACATGAATGTATCGACGCGAAAAATCCACTTACCTAGCTCGATACGCAATTCAGGATCGACGTATCCAACAGTGTGAGGCATGCCTATCTCTACGTCTGCATTTATCTACATGTACATATGTACATACGTAAGTAACGTAACGTAACGTAACGTAACGTAACGTGTGTATGTGTTGTTGTTGTTGTTGATGTCGTTGTCGTTGTCGTTATCGTTATCGTTATCGTTGTCGTGTCGTTGTTGTTGTATTGTTACATTGTGTTCGTATATTCGATCGTGTTAAGTTTAGCTCATATATCTTCGTGCTTTATCTGTACGCTTTATATATGTGTATAACGTCCTATATACATATATATATATATATATATATGTGTGTGTGTGTGTGTGTGTGTGTGTGTGTATGTGTATGTATATATATGTATATATGTATGTTCTCAGAAATCTGCTGCGGATTAAATAGTCGTTAAAATCAATAACTTTAGAAAGCTATATTAAATTCCGTATTACGTATAAGAGGTTACGTAGGTTTTAGTATACGTTGACATGAATTTTAGATGGTATCAATTAAATGATAATCGTTTTGATAATAAACGTTTTGAATATGTATTTATTTTTTTATTTGTTTTTTTATTTTTCTTTTTTTTTTTTTACTTCTCTTTCTCTTCTTCTTTTTCTTTCTTTCCTTTTTCTTATTATTATTTTTTTCTGTAATTCGGCCATTAGTCTCTAATTAGTTTTTTCGTGTTTTTATTATTCGAATTGTTTTTTTGATTATGGAAGATACTGAACAGATTTTTCTTTCTGTTTTTTTTTCTTTTTTCTTTTTTGTATACTATATCAAATTCATTCTTTGAATTATTTATTAACCTCTTTTCTTTTTTTCTTTTCACCTAAAACTTTACCATCCTTACGTGCAACTATATTATTTTTTTTTTTTTTTTCATACATTAAATCGTTATAACAATTTTAATAATGATTTCGAATAGAAGATTCTTTTGACAAGGAATATATTCTTTCTCTGTTTTTTTTTATTTTTTTTTTTTTTTTTATACTAACGTTGAATCATTTTACATCAAAATCATTTTAAGAATGTACACACGGAAATATTTTGTAAAATATAATATTCCCTGCAACTATATCGATTTTATTTCGATAAGAGTTTTTTTTTTTAATGATGAATCTCATCTTTAAAAATTATCATATCCAAAATTATCGCACAAAGTTAATTTTGTTCGTTATTTTAATAGGAAAGTACGTGAAAACTCGATCTGGTATTACGATAACAAAGTTGTCATTAGCGGATAATCCGAATAAACATCTACATTTAAATTAATATAACAGGACGTTAAGTTTTTTCTTTTCCTTTTTTTTTTTTATATAAGTACTTATATAATAAATGAAACAATATTTGAATGAAATACAAAATTTCATTCATGGTAGATATTAAGATTTAAACAATACATTTACCGTTAATTAAAAAAATAAAACTTAAATTCGTACTGCATATTAAATTCATTTTGAAAACGGACCATCAGTCCTCGATATTATATTTATAAAAAAAAAAGAAAAAAGAAAACGAAAAAAATTCTCCCCTCACTCTTATTTAATCGTTTTCACCGTTTAAGAAGTTCTGAAAAACGTTACGAGAAAGTAGAATGAAAGTTTGTCGAACTTTATCGAATTTTTCTATCAATTTAATTTTTATTTGATCACCCTGAGATTCAATATGTTCTTTAGTATGAAACAACAACAACAACAACAACAACAACAACAACAACAACAACAACAACAACAACAACAATAACAACGAACCTCTACTACTCTTCGATCGTTATCATCAAGGTATTAGTTATACCACCAGACTTTATTTTTTTTCTTTTTTTTTTCTTCTTTTTTTTTCTTATCTAAAAAAAAGTAGGTTAATGTCAGTAGGAAGCCATGACTAAGAGTCTCGGAGGTTTATCGTTAGAGAACTCGAGTGGAAGCCGTGAGGGAACAATGCCGGGCCGATTATAAATAAAAGATCATATAAATGTGGTATGTATATGTGTTGGTGTAACTGTAAGGTAGTAACGGTTAATGTTGACTGCGATTAAGCGTGCCGCGGAGTTCGCGATGCAAATGTAAGCTTCAACTAACGATATCGTAGCACCGATTGTTGTTCCCTCTTTCTCTCTCTCTCTCTCTCTCTTTCTCTAATAAAATGGACAATGTCGTTTCTTTGTGTGGTCTCTCTCTCTCTCTCTTTCTCTCTCTTTATCCTTCGAGTATTTTCGGTCTCTACCCGAAAAGCATACATTCGTAAAATGTGCACCGGTGCGATAATGCTACGGTCAAAGTTCTTCCATTTTACGGTACGGTACATTTTCAGGTATTCCCTGCTGAATAAACTAATGTTGTCTATGGTTCCTAGAATACCAGGTATTGTATATTATACTTTCAAAGAATTTATATTATGTTTATTATGATCATCGAGAATTGTTCTTTTTTTAACTTTCTCTTTTTTTTTTTTAATGTTTATATGATATATATATATATATATATATATATACATGTATATATGTACATATATATCATATAAATGTATGTGTTTGGTTCTTGAGATGTTTGAATTATTAATCGAAATTATCTCCGAACGAATCAAGATACATGAACTTTCGATACTTATCGTTATATTCTTACGAAAGAATAAATTAATTTTGATCAAAAACAAAATGATTACATGATGATATAAACAAAATGATAAACATTATTCTTATGTTCCACGATCAAACAAATTTTTTCTTCCTTTTTTTTTTTTTCTTTTAAATGATCGTACATAAATATATACATAGATATATGTAAGAATCTTTTTTGCTTTTTGAGATATCTTCTTTTGAAGATATATGAAGATCAAAAATAAAATGATCTTTCCTTTTCTTCTTGATCATCCGATTCTTCCACGAATGAACATAAATTTTATCGTAATGTAACAATAAAAAAGAAAATTATTCGATGTAAGCAAAAGCTGAAAAAATGGTTGGATTAATAATCCGAAAGGAATAAAAGATAAAAGAGAAAAAAAGAAAAAAAAATTGAATCGAACGATTGAATCGATCATACGGAAACGACTTATATACATATATAGAGAGCCATTTTATGGGCAAACGAATAAAGGTCTTTGCACACGTATCGACATAAGCTATAATACGTAAGCACTGTCACATAGTATGCTATAAATCATAAGCTTAGATCAATCATCATTCAATCGTCATCGAAGAAAATACAATTCCTCAATCGTCAATCGTATGTCGCCAATTCGTTCCATCTTTCGTTTTTCTATTGTATTTATTATTATACTTTATAAAAAAAAAGATTATACTTTTATTTAAAAAAAAAAAAAAAAAACCATTGACGTTTGGTATTCATTTCATTCGTCTTCCTTTGCACTTTTGGCGCTTCTCTCATAAGATAAACACGTTAAAAATTTTTTTTCTAAAGTTATTCAGTTTATTATATTTCATATTAAAGTTTTTGTATTTTGTTCTTATTTTTGTTATTTAAATTAAACGAAAGATAACATATAAAGTTATTTGTCATTGTTTCTTCGAGACGATAACATTTATAAAACTGCTAATAAAATCTTTAATTTCGAAGATCTTATTTAACCCTAGTTGTGCCTGTGGAGTGTAATAAATCCCAGATTAACTTTGAACTCAATTAAAACAATTAGCGCATTGCACGATTTATGATTTTTTTTTTGTTTTTTTATAATGACAAAATTGGAAATGCAATTATTATTTTCGAGGCTTTAAAGAATATATAATACTCTTTTGAAATTAAAATTATTCATTTTGTATAAATGACAGCTATTCAAAATACCCGGGGTGTAGTGCATCCCAAATGCACAATTTGAAATTATTTTGAGGTGTGCACAATTATATAGTTAATAGAATTATTTCAATCGCTATATAAAGATACGTATACCTCTACCAATCTATCCATCCATTAGCGATACATGAAATTTCAAATTATCGAATTTAAATGTCGCGAATTAATCATGTCGAATGGTTAAAATAATTAGAATTAAAAAGTAAGATCCATAATAATTTCTTATACTTTTTTGAATAAAAATTATTAACACTTTGACGAGTATAACAGATTTTAATACAAGTAAAAAACGTCGAAAAAATTAATCGACTAAGATTAATTTCTTTAAGCCGATGATTGTGCGTGAATGTTATAACAGATAAAAAGTTGTCAATTCGCATTCAAAAAACAAAAATATTCAAGGATGTAAAAGAAGCAAACATTTAACGGAAAAAAATTTAACGATGGGGAGAAACGTAGAAAATGTCGAGTCGTTGTCGAATAGACGTCGTTTATTTTTCTTTTTTTTCCTTTTTTTTATTTCTCTCTCTCTCTCTCTCTCTCTCTTTCTGCGTTTTCTTTGCTTGAGTTTACAAGCACTAACGATAGACACCGATCCTTCTTTTTCTTCCCTCTTCAGGATTAACCGATCGTCTTACGTAAGGACGCATCGTTATCTCTCGCGGAATCGTTTCGTTCTTCTTCGCTAACGAGTTGTTTTCATCGAGTCATATTCGCCACAATGATGTCGGAAAGAAACGATGAAACTCTCCTTCTTTTTCTTCTTCTTCTTCTTTTTATTTTTCATTTTCTTCTTTTTATTCTCCATTTTCTTCCTCTTCCTCTTCTTCTTCTTCTTCTTCTTCTTCTTCTTTTTTCTCAGCTTTAAGCTTCAGCTAGAAGCTTCTCAGAGAGTTCAGTTTCAGATTCAGCTTCAAGTTCAGTTTCAGTTACAGCTTCGAAACGTCTCGACGACGGACGTTGCCTCTTCCGGTTATTCGTTGAAAACGTCTCGGGCAACGCCTTATTCTCGTTATTTAATTGCTTCCCTCTCGTTCGTCATTCCTCCGCTAATGAGATTCGCTGAATCCCAAAGACGTCGATCTCTTTTATAGGGTTGACATTTTTCTCTTTATTTGATTTTTCTCCAAAGAGATAAAAAGAAACAGAGAGAGAGAGAGAGAGAGAGAGAGAGAGAGAGAGAGAGAGAGAGAGAGATGTATATGTATGTGTATGTGTATGTTCATGTG